AAAAATAATATCATCCAATCATCATTAGAGTACCCCTTCAGGTATATAACAATTTTAGACGGAGAAAGTATGTCGAGATTGAATTATGGAAGTGCAAAAATTGTTCAAGTTGCGAAAGAGAAAGATTTCATTCAAGCTGGGCCAATTTATAAATCAGGAAATAAAACTGTTCATCATGGCATTTGTTTTGTAAGACCAGTTTACTTTCAATTAATTACTAGTAGTTTAGTTTTACTAATCATTGCGGGAAAGTTAGGAATCAAAAGCTCAAAATTCAAGCATACATTTACATTGGTCATAATTCCCCTCATTGAAGAAATCCATCATTTTAATAAATCGGTATTTTAAACTTATTTCCTCATTATAATCCGTGAATAGTGCGAATATTTTCCGAAATTTAAAAAAAAATCTAAATTTTTTAAAAAGGAACCAGTAGTCCTTGAAATTTTTATTTCATACATTTTCATATGGTTTAGGAATAATCGACAGCTATAGGACGAATTTAAAAGATTTAAAATTTCATCTTGTTTAATCTGGTTCTTAAAACAGTGAAAGCGAGATATTAGTTGCTTATCACTCAAGTTACCCAGCTAAGCAAATTCAAACTTTAACCCCTAATATATGTATTACGAAATGACTGGCATTAATATGAAAGTTAAGACAATCTTACGGTCTAGATAAGTCATCCCAGACACATTGCAATAACTCCCAAAGTTATCCCTCATTTCACACCTGGCGTTCGTAACTTGCCACGTTGCTTCGTAGCATAAGTGTCTATGACAATTTTGTGACACTTTAAAATGGTCTTTGTAACGGAAATACGTCTCATTTGCGTGAGTTATTTTGTGAAGGTATATATGAGGCTCTCGGGTATTTGCTCTCTTTCTTTTTTTATTTTTTCATTCTCTTTCTCTCGTAATATTTCCATTTCAGGGTGATAGTGGAGCGGGATTGCAGGGATTTCGTAAACAACGCGTTTTTCTCCTTGGTATACATTCATTTGGTCCAAAAATTTGTCATGATGGGTCACCCTTTACATTGACCGATATCCGACCATATGCACAATTGATATGTTATTTAACAGGAATATGTTATCATTTATCATCCTTTATCTGATGTTTACTACCATCCTTGTTTTTCGTATTTAGCATTTTGTTAGTCTTGCATAAAAAGAAAGCAATGGATGAGAGAATATTTTATTTCCTTTCATATTTCATTAACAACGTGCGTTAAGCGATAATGAAATTTGACTTCATTTCTTAAATCCATACTTCTTACACCTGCACTCTAAATGATATAAACGTAATCACTTTGATGAGTAATACTTTCACGTAAAATTATTAAATTACTTATGCGGAGAATCTGTTGTCTTGTCAATTACTCATATACATGTTAAGCGCAAAGAGTGATAAATTTCAAGGAACTAAAATATTGTTGTCACGTGTTATGCTATATGTGAACAGTGATAATAAGTCATAATTTAAAAGATCAAAGTAATATGTGTATGTCAAATGTATCAAATACCCTTATATATCATAAAATATGTTACGCACAGTGGAACATGATGTATGTTAATTCTATCAATATTTCATCAATAATAAGAGAAGTAGATTGATATTTGTGGGGAATGTATTTAACGCTTCATTATCATTTTAAAATGTTTTGTTATGATAAGTAAATGACAATGACAGATGGCTTGATTATATTGTTGCGCGAGTGAAAGGTATTTCAGTGATGAGATTGTATGGAATTGAACTAAAATAGTTTCGACTCTTTGTTAACAGGTTGGAATTTTGATTTGTAAATTAATTATAAACTTGAAACCAAATTGTACATTACAGATAAGTTAATATAGTGTGACGACAAAAGAAGTGTAAATTGATTACCTGTTCGTATGTTTTCCTGTCCTCCTGTCTTGATGTTTTGTTAATGTCATGTCTACCAAAATGATTAAAAGAGGATGTTGCGATTGAGTGCGAAAAGGTATCGGGATTCATTGCTGAATAATTGGGGTAATGTCTGTCGTTTCATTGTTTTTGCTGGTTTATCCATATTGTTTACATCTTGTTTACTACTTCAGTCAGCAGCTTAAAATTTTATTACTTTAGCTTTAAGGCTAAAGTAATAAAATTCGTTCAGTTGTAATTTAGATCACTGTAACTAGAATAAACTGCGTGATCATATTCATATTTGGCACATTCTACTCGTTAATCGTCTCCATACCACTATGAGTAGTCACTAATGATTAAATGTAATTGTAGAATTATCATTCTATTTGCTAAAGATGAAACGGGACAAGAAGGATGAAGAAAATGGTGGAGGTAATCCATTCGCTAATCTCGATAAAACAACTGTTCTACAGGAGGTATTCATTTGTTGTAAGAGTTGAATGTTTATCATTTGTTCGTAATTCAACCATCCAGGCAGTGCAGTTAGAACCACTCTCTGAAATGGCAGTCAATCTTTTCAGATATAGAAATTGCAAAATAGTACCAAGTGATACTGATAGGGCAGTGTTTTTTGGTTAATATTGTTAACTATCCTGTATAAATTGAAAATCAGGTATAAACGATTACCTTTATAATCCAACTAATTACATTCATTTGAATTGTTTCTTTTATATCATTTTTGTGTTGCATGTTTTGCAGGAAACTCAGAATGGAAAAGTAGTATTTTATTTATGAAAAGTTCTTTCTTACTTGAAAATTTAGGCCCGTGCTTTCAACGAGACACCGATAAATGCACGGAGATGTAGTCTGATCTTGAGTAAATTGCTGTATTTACGACAGCAAGGTGAAACTATCGGACGTACTGAAGCAACGGAAGCTTTTTTTGCTGTTACAAAATTATGGCAAAGTAAGGATTCGAATCTGCGGCGCTTGGTCTACCTCGCAATTAAGGAGTTCTGCGACATCTCCAATGATGTCATCATCGTTACTAGCAGGTTACTAGAATTCGTCCTCATTTGTTTTCTATTTGAGATAATGTTATTTGGTGCTTATTTATATGTCTTCTTATGATTTGCAAATTGAAATAAAAAAATCCATCGGATATTCTTTAGCCTTACAAAAGATATGACTGGTCGAGAAGATATCTATCGTGCACCATCCATCCGAGCTTTGTGCTGCATAATTGATGGAAGTATGTTGCAGGCTATTGAACGCTATATGAAGCAGGTTTGTCATGTAAACTGTTTTTAAAGGATTTTGTGTTAAAATGTAAATTTGGTTGCTTGCTAATATTGGGTATCCAAAAAGCTAGGACAGCAAAGAATACAAGTGATATAAAGTCATTTTCGACTTCAGGCTATTGTTGATAGAAATTCAGCAGTTGCATCAGCAGCCCTTGTTTCATCATTTCATATGCTTCGGAAGAATCCGGAAGTGGTACGTCGTTGGGCGAATGAGGTGCAAGAAGCGGTTTCATCGGACAGGTTTATTTATTTACGTGTTTGTTTGTCGTTGATACGCAACATATAATTGATTAAATAGGTTTTATTTTGGGTCATTTGGTGTGCTGTTACGTAGCTCACCATGAAAATAATACTGCATACTTTATAGAAGTCAGATTTGAGGTAGTCATATTATATTTAAGTTAGACATTTCCTTATTAATTTTTGTTTAATAAAATTGCATAACGAAGTGTTCAAAATCCAAAATTTCGATTCATATTTTGACATAAAAAAAAAAATGTTGATCGAAAATTAAATGGACGGCTTTTTGCTCAAAAAATCTGATTTCAGCAATATGGTTCAGTTCCATGCTCTCGGCTTACTATACCATATTCGTAGCGGTGATCGTTTAGCAGTGAATAAACTGGTTCAAAAATGGAGCAAATCATCGTTGCGTTCTCCTTTTGCAACCTGCTATCTCATTCGACTTGCCGCCAAACTTGTCGAAGAGGATGAAGCGGGGTATGGATCCTTTAGCAAATAATATAGCTTTCTCCAAATTTTTGCTTCCTGAACTTATTTTCTAAATAGTATCGTTAAATCTGCATGATTTCCCAAAAAAGCTGCCATATCCTATGACAGAGCCGTTAACATTCCTTTACGATATAAAATTAATAGTTTAGGGTTGATGATATTTCAGAACAGAAAGCCCCTTTTTCCAATTCATTGAGTCATGCCTTCGTCATAAATGTGAAATGGTTATATATGAGGCTGCTTCTGCAATTGTTCGACTACCGCGAACAACTTCATCAGAGTTATCGCCAGCTATTTCAGTTTTGCAACTTTTCTGTTCGTCTCCAAAACCGGCATTGCGATTTGCCGCAGTGCGGACTTTAAATAAGGTTTGGATTTAAGATTTTGAACTTGCATTTCTGAACTGTAGGAGCTCTTTTTTCGTAGAAGTATCTTCTTTGCTCATATAATTTTCCTCTTTGGTGCAAAGACTTTCCATCGTCTTGTAACGTTTATTACAATATATTGTGATGACAAGATAAACTCTTTAGATCGGTTTTATCGGAAGTATTCTATAGCTTACATTTTCAGGTATCAGTGAAACATCCGCAAGCAGTAACATCATGCAATGTCGATTTAGAACAGTTGATAACAGATCAGAATCGTTCGATAGCAACACTTGCAATCACAACACTTCTCAAAACCGGAGCAGAGTCATCCGTAGAAAGACTGATGAAACAAATTAGCACATTTGTAAATGAAATAAGTGATGAATTTAAGGTAACATCATTCATTTCATTTTCAGTTCTTCAAAATTTATGGCTTATCTTTAAATTATATAAAATATAAAAGTACTAATGATAAGAAGCAATTGCCGTTATCTCAAATATCGTGTTAATTAAAACAATTCTTTCTTCGTTAACTTTTCTCAGATGACTATTGCTTGACATTCTAATGTATGTTCTCAACCTGCTATCCTTCAATACACACTCAAATTGAGTGGGCATCGAAGGATAGCAGGTTGGATTTTTGATGATCATATGACTACCATAGTTGTAACAACTTTGTCAAAAGCCTCTTACTGAGAATTGCATGTCTTAGAGTTTATTAATTCTCTTACACGAACTGGCACAGTAAAATTTAAATTAAATGATTTTGCATCGTGCATTTAATTTTCGCATTTTACATATTGCAGGTTGTGGTGATTGAAGCAATTCGTTCATTGTGTGCACGTTATCCACGTAAGCACTCTACCCTTATGTCATTTTTAGCTACAATGTTACGCGATGATGGTGGTTTTGACTATAAGAAGAGCATTGTTGACACTATTATTGCTATAATTGATGAGAACTCAGATGCGAAGGAAGCAGGTAATATATAGTTTTCTTTGTCTACTGTCTTTCAAATGAAATTAATCTTTGCTGGTTAGACTGGTGGATTAAGGCAAGATTGTTTCGAGTGTTGTATTGCTACATCAATCTTTTTGGTTTTTTTGTATTATGAGTACAAATTTCAGGATTGTCACATTTGTGTGAATTTATTGAGGACTGTGAGCATCCAGTACTTGCTACCCGTATACTACACTTGCTTGGTCGTGAAGCACCAGCAACTGCCAGTCCCTCTCGTTATATTCGTTTTATTTACAATCGAGTTATTTTGGAAGCCACTCAAGTACATTTAGTTCTATTATTTTAACAAAATTTAAGATACAATGATCTAATTTTTAACAAGTTCAGTATTGTTAGTATAGATTTTACATTATTTTATAATTTATTGAAATGTCTTTCCAAGGCGTTAAAAAGTGCAATTAGCAAAGGTAATTTACTTACTAGAGGATGGAATCTATAAAACTCATGAATGCACTATAGTGTGACACTCAAGAAGTGGTTGTTTTAATCAAAAGAAAAGGAAAAAATGATTGGTGAAGATTGAGGTAATTAGTTTTTCTAATACATTTTGTTTTCAAGGTTCGCGCTGCAGCGGTAAGCGCTCTAGCCAAGTTTGGAGCTCAGTGTTCGGATTTGAGGCCATCTATACAAGTCTTGCTGAAACGTTGTTTGCTTGATATGGACGATGAGGTACGCGATCGAGCAACCTACTTTCTATCAATTTTAGAAACGGAAAATCCACATTTGATTGCTAATTATATCTTGAATGGACTGCAGGTTGGTATCTGTTTTTCTTGAAATAGCGTGCTGTTTTACGTTCTTTAAGTATTGTTTGATTACATATTGTTTCCTAAAGGTCAAGAAATTTTGTAGGAAGAACAATTTAGTTATCATAGTTACTGAGGCCTGAATGTCAAATTTACGGTACGTATCTGTTTTACATTGTTTCATTCGCACTGTGTTTTAAGGTATCAGTTCTTGGGCTTGAAAGAGCACTGGAGCAATATGTAGCCAATGGAGAGTATGATAAACCGTTTGATTTGAAAGTGGTGCCAATTTCGGCTCTTCCGCTATCCATAACGGAAATCAGGAAACCGTCGCTGTCCATAGAGACAATTTCAGATAAAAAGAAAGAAAAAAAGACATCTCGACAAGAGATTTATGCAGGTCGCTGACATACTTGTGTATTTAGTCTGAAACTGAAAAATTAGTTTAAAAACTTTTTTTAAAAATAGTTTTAATATTTAGTCGAAATTTTATAATTCTAAATAATAGGTCAGGAGTAAATAATGCAGATCGAACAACAGAGTACTATTCTTCATCGCAGATTTTGATATTGCAGAACAGTTAGCAGCTATTCCGGAATTTGCCAGCTTGGGTCCATTGTTTAAATCTTCACAACCAACAGCATTAACAGATGAAGTAACTGAATACAGCGTCTTATGCGTTAAACATATTTTCCCACAGCATATTGTCCTACAGGTGAAATTTAATAACAAGTGCTTGACTTGCGAACTCTTGTCTAAGACATATTTATTTGTTATCGATAAACTTTGTATCGTTATCCATAGACGAATTCCAGTTCGATTGTAACAACACACTGAATGACCAGTTTCTGGAGAATGTTTATATTGAATTGGAGCAAGCACCAGATACGGAAGGATGGACGATTTTGCGCACGATACCACTAGAAAAGTTACCATTTGGTGTACAGTCAACCACATATGTACTGTTGAAAATACCTTCAGCACCTTGTGCTGTTACTGCAACATTCAGCGCAAGTTTGAAATTTAAAGTTCGCGATGTTGATCCTGCAACAGGCGAATTCGAAGGCGAAACTTATGATGACGTTTTTGTGGTATGCTATTTGATTTTTAAGAATTGAAAAGAATTCTGACAATTCATGGAACGGATTTCAGATCATTATGAAGTAGTATTTTATGGCCATATGATTTAGGTGTCATTAAATGTAGAAAATTAGTTTCGGAATATAAATTAGCTTTAATGGGTTAAGAAGTATGTAGCTAAGCGTGTTATCAAGAATACTGGAACATAGTTTTCAGTACGTTAAGTGAGTCAAGAAGTTCTAATACTGAAGATCAATCAGAGCTGACAAGGTGGTAGTATAACCCTCCTATTGGTATCCTAATTACTCATTCGCGGAGGTTGATAATTGGCACTGAGAAATGAAACTTTTGAAACTTTTCAAACGGAAAACATACAGCAATCTGTATGTCTTCCGTTTAAAAAGTTATTTTCTGCAAATGAATGTCCAGTTTTGGTGAAAGGCTGCGAAATGTTCTAATTTTTTCTCCACAGCTGGAAGAAGTTGAAATAACCGTTGCGGACCATGTGCAATCAACAAAGCGAAGCAATTTCGCTGTCAATTGGGAACAAATTGGTGATGAAAATGAAAATGAAGATACGTATGCTTTATCAACAGTTCATACGCTGCAAGGTTTGTTCATCATTAGCTTTATAACTTAATGGAGAAACCTACATTACAATCTCAAAATCTTACATGTGCAAAGTTTGGAATTGCAGTTGTTAGTATGAGATAAGATGTATATACTAATATTTTCAAGTAGAAGCTTGTTATATTATTCAAATCCCGAGGCAGAACAATCTAATATTTAATATTTTGCGTAATTGGTAAGCTTCCATGGGTTGTTGATGTTCGATAATGTCCGCAAATTTCCTACTAATAAAGAGAATCTTACGATAAAATTGGATAACCCTAATATTTACTGTTTTCTTCGTTTCTTGAAATATTTAGAGAAAGCTTTGAGCTCAGAAGTTTTGGAAACTGATTGATTCAAGTGTAATATAGAAGTGTTGGTCATTGTCAGTATCGTTCTGTTCACTGAGTCTGTAATCTCCATTGTTTTATTATTATTGCTCGTATTTATCTATTTACATTTCATTTACATATTTGAATAGTATTTAATTTTATGTTAAACAACCGAAACAAAGTGTTTTTAGTAAGGTTGCATTCCAGATGATAGTTTAAATAATTATATTATAGATGCAGTAAGAGAACTGATCAAATGCATAGGATTAGGGCCATGTGAACGATCCGATCGCGTGGTGGAAGGTAGAAGTGCGCATTTACTTCTTTTAGCTGGCGTATTTCGAGGTGGACATGAAGTTTTAGCAAAAGCGCGGCTTGCATTGAACTCGGTTGACAGAACTGTTACAATGAATTTCATTGTCAGGTGACTTTTTCTTGCTCAACCCAAAGAGATTATATTACAAAGAAAAATCCTTATACAGATCACTAACTTTTATTAGTTATAATGAAGAATGAAGATTTTGTTATCTAGGCATAGAATTTTTTGATGACCATGACCATGCTTATGCTGTATAATGGCACTTCGTAATGTTCTTTCATATGTTTATTTGCATTACTTTTTGCCGAAAGAAAAAGTTTCACATTATAAACAGACGAAGTTTTAGATCTGACGATTCAACAGTAAGTGAAATTATAAGAAACGCGGTGTCCTGAGCTCGTGCAATAAATAGCTGCAGAATGCATTGGCGGTTTTTTGCAACAGTCTGTGATTTGGTGTTAAAATAAGTTTGATGTCTGAAAAGGATATTCCCAAAAATTTATTGTAGTTTGTTTTAAAAAGTTCCATATCTTTTGATTTTAGTTATTTTACTGAAAGCTGTATTCATTGTCTTTTGATTTTAGTTATTTTACTGAAAGCTGTATTCAGGAGCAAAAAACTTTCCAATGTACTGAAGCTTAAAGGTTATATGAAATATACAATAATACGTGAAAGCAAGATCTTACACTATGCTGTTTTCTATCAATTGATGTAAACCATTTTCTCTCTAATAAGCAATTATATATCTAACGGAACATGCCAAGCTGCCGTAAGTGAATCTGGATATTTTACATTTTGTTCGAACTAAAGTAACTTTAATCAGTTTTAGAAATTGGCACATATTGCTTGATTAACTAACATTTTCAATAACGTTTGACAGCAATTAAAAATACAGTATCTATGAGTTACTAAAACGTTACAGTCACATACGGTGTTTTGATTCTGTTTTATTTGGGAAAGATCTGTAAAGTTAATTGGAAAAAGTTTGCAATAATTAACACCGAATAAAATGTCAATCAAGTTTATTGAAGTAACATTTGTTAGGGCAATGTTGCAAGTCTTCAACAGCAATTGTGAATAAATCGGCCAACGATTGTGCAAATATAATCATTTATTAATCCATTATCTGATATTATCCATAATTCATTTTGAAACGTAAAACAAAATTTGAATTAAAAATAATTCGAAATTGAAGTTAAAAATGTGGATAATATTAAGTACAAAATCTGCATAATGAACTGATTTAGAATTTATTTGAAATTAATATAAAACTTATTTCTTGTAAATCTAGAATCATTACAACACCTACAATTATTCGCACAAATTGGGTGGAGTAAACCATACTTCTTTCTTTATTCTTAATTTATCTATGAAATTAGCATGGCAATGTTTCGAAAATATTTTCGGGAACTTTGCTTTCTGTTTTTGTTTTTTAAATTTAATTGCAAAATGTTTGAGGGATATACGTTAAAGTATGTTTAAATTTTGTTTTGAATTGTACGTTAAATTTTGCATTAAATTATACATCACTTAACTTCATCATCAATGTGCAACTTGATGGATAGTACATTTTACTAGTGAGGAGATTATATATATGTCTTATATCTTCTGTGAAGATAAGATGAAATCAAGTGTGATGTTCAGGCCCATATTATTATACATTTGTGCGTATAACCCCTTAACTCTTTAAAAGGTTACGTGTGTTTACGTCTGCCTCTGTCTGTCCCTTGCTCTGTGTCTATTCTATTAGTCTTTAACCTGTGTCAGGTAAAAATATCCATAGCTTAAAAAAAGATTGAGATCATGTTTTTCATGATTGGTACCGGTCAATAAAGCCAAACTAAGATACCATTTGTGGTCCTCATCTTTTATAGGGTGTACGACATATTGCCTTACATTTAATGGAAATGGAGCAGTTCTGCGAGGGATGTTTGTTCAATATTTGAAAAATTCAGGCTATTTGTTTCTTTTCATAAAATTCAATATCGGTGAAACCTTATGTTTTGCTTAAACCCTTTGGTTGAACTCATTCTTTTCAATTTTCCATCAAATCATTGTCACTTAAGATTGGCAATTTTTTTCTTCATGAACTGTTCTTGTGTTTTTCTAATTTTGTTTTTAGCATAGTTCACACTAATTACTTGCAATATAGCTAACAGCAGTAGAAATATTGCATTCGCATCCATGTTTTCATAGATGTAATTAATAGATTACGTTTGTGATAAATTATTTCACATTTCAGATAAATATTTATCCAAATAATCGTTGAAGTAGTTGAAATGGTAGAGATATCGACAAAGAAACCTCCGAAATCGTCTTATTTGAATGGTAGCATATTTCTTAGTCTTTCTTATTTCTCTAACTAATTGAAAAGCGTAAGCTTTTTTGTAGTCGATAAGAAATCGATTTCTATCGATTTGGCACTGGAACGAAGTTTTCGGAAAAAGGTCCTCAAGGATTTGAAGCTGTTGGCTTTATCCCAAGGTTTTTTTTTTGATAGAGTACTTAAAAGTACTGATGGGAAGTGGATTTGTCTATATTTCATATATTGGATGAGGGAGGCGAAAATGGACTTTAGGTCAAAATGTGTTTTTTTGGACGTTCTTAAAAATATTTCTTCTAATTTTACGGGATTGTGGATTCTAGAACTTACTAATTGTCATCACTTTGTGTTTCTTCGCACTTCCAGAAGATTTTGTTGAAAGATGTATCGATGATGTGAATGGTAGCAATCCAATGTTTATTTCGACGTCGACATGTGCAGATACATCCGTATTGGGGCAAAAGGAAAAAGAATGCAATGTAATCGCAATTTTTCACTTTGATAAATACGAGTTTTCAACAGTATTACGGCAAATTAAATTCTAAAATGATTAGGATGGCACCAACATATTTTGTTGCATCAGCCAGCAATGCCACTTACGTGCTGGTAGAGGAAGAAATAGTTTAAGCTGTTAAACTTCATTTTACACTTCTTTTCATTATAGTAAAAATACTGAAAATTGACTGACACTGAAAATTTAAAGGTGTATAATCAAGAAAACATTCAAGGGTCCTATTACATATCCAACAAGTTGTCGGTTTTGTGGTGGGATGTTGCGTGCAATCGATAAACATCGCGAAGATCAGAAGCTTACATTGCAGTGCAGGCATCGTAAATGTATGAAGTAAATTCTTTATTCCACATATACTTATAGTTTATATCGATTGTTTGTGATTTCAGCAGAGGTGTAAGATTAGACACTAATTTTAATTTCTGCTGTCAAAATTTTAATCCATGATTGGCGTAGTATAAGGCCGGTGTTTGCATACTTACTAAACCTCTCTATATGAATCGAAACGTCGCGACAATACCGTCGTTCTTTCTTTTAATTTTTGAATGAATCCCCCGGGCTGTATTTTTCTGTTTTTTCTCTAAAACGCAACATTTCAGATTTAATGGTCTCACTGCAGACGAGCAGGCCAAACAACTCTTATCAAAGATGGCGAAACCAAGGGTTAATATTTCGTCCTTGATCAATTTTTCTGTCCATTTTGATGGGTTTCAAAGTCCAGTTAAATTGTGGCATGTTTCTACAGGCTCCACAGATTGATTATGGTTGGTATCTATCAGATCCCGTGAGACATTCCTATAGAATTTTTGCGAGCAGTGGCGATTCCTCGGATTTAGAAGTCGATAGGTACGTTTTGAACAGAGATATCCTACAGCTTTCAATGAAAAAGTAATTCAATTCAGAATTTTTACAGTTTGGACTAATTTCAAATTAATCAAATTTTTTCCTGAATTTTTACCATCTGTCGTACAGGTCAAATGTGGATGTCCGACCAATTATTCAAGATGGAAATGTAATGCTTCGAGTTTTCGGACAAACACGACTGGTCAGATTATTATGAACCAGACTCCTCTCCGTTCAATCTCATAGTTGTATTATGCATTTGCTTCAACTGTTCATTTTTTTTCAGCTTTACACCAAAATCTGTATATTAATCATTTTCATAATGGTAGCGCGATCGTCTATTTGGAGCTGTATCTTTCTAATGGAGACCTGTGATGTTAGCTACAGAGCAATTGAATAACCTAGTTCCTTGGAGGTAGAAGCTACTAATGACTTAATTTGCCTAAGATAATTGCCAATCTTCAGGAATATTCTTGTCGTGACTTGACAATATCTGATCATAATTCTCTCGTATACGGGAAAGTCGAAAATTAGGATTACTAGGACTGATTAAATTTTTATTGCTTTCTGATCAAATCACAAAAATGCTACATATTTGCGGTTGATCTTACTCATTTTAGCTATATTTTAGTCATATTTCTGGAAACTATGTTTAGCATAAAAATTTCCAATACAGTAACTAGGACAGTACTAATTCTCAGATTCTGAACAATCTTATTATTCTAACTGCGCAACAAGTCAATAAATTTGTTCTGTGCAGAGGTATGTTTACATCATAAAAGATCAAACATATGTAACATATTATGTAGAAATAGATATAACATAAAGATCTAGAACTAGATTACAGTTTTGCGACGAAGACGTTTGATAGTACTGCTTTCTCGAGTCTCCATTCGAAAATTTTAAGTCTTTCCATACTTATTTAAAAAAATATTAGTGCAAAAGACTTTTAATAAGGAATTAATAATACGTCTTAAAATCGCTTTCTAACTTTAGCATTATATGAGAATTTTCATTCACATTGAGATTTCGGTGAGCTAGAAAGCGTTTCTTCAACAACTATGCTGGCTTGTATGGAATCAGTTTTTTTGACGAGCTGTTTGGTCCAACTAACCATTTCATTGATATCTTCTGTGCTATAAAAGAAAAAGAATCAAACTGACGATAATTATAATAAATAATTTGAATGGCTGGCTATCAAAGAGACATTTCCCAAATTGTTAAACATTGAATATAACATGCTATTTCTATGCACGAGAACAATCAATAATAACTGAGTAATATACACTAAAAGCACGAGTGAATTCTCAGTCTTATTATCAGCGGGGATGACTTCCTCTCACATAAATTAGACTGATGGAACGAAATGAAATCAAAAATAAGAAATTAAAGAAAAATGCAACAACAGGGAACGATCGAAAATAGTGGTAGTGAAAAGGCACACTTTTTGGACAGCATAAACTTTTGTGCACTCATCGATGCACAAAATGAACGGACGGGACCAAAACGATCACGGCGTTTAGTGGCCACTTCAGCTGCAAGCTGAAAGAGTACAAAGGAAGTTAAAAGTTTCTGATTTAACTTATCAAACTAAACGCAAACTACATTATTGAAGATAAAGTAAAATAATTTCTGCGGTATCTTTCTAGAACTTAAGCAAAAAAGTTGAAAATGTTCGTAAACGTCGGAACAATATTTTGAAGTCAAATTATACATATGGTAACTGCCGCGTGACGCCATCGACCTTGATACGCAACGTTTCCAATTTATCCTTCAAAGCCTTTTCTGGATCTGTTAGTGGAAACATTTTCTGCACAAGACCCGAGCCAATCTGCAAAATACGTTATTCCAGCTACAACATTTGAAGAAAAAAAATTTATCCTGGAAGATTCGCTTTTGCAAAATTGCTTCCTTAGGTTTCGATATCAAAAAGACAAGCTATTTGCATTAAACCGAGCATTGATCTTATTTCAAAGTACCCGGAATGCTATATTCTTTTTTAATAACGACATTATTTCTCAAAATCTTGCCTATAATTCTTCCTCAGAAACTAATTTTTCGCCACGACAGTCATCCCTATTTACCGGCCTTTTTAAAATACTCGACGAAGATCCTGTTTAACATGAACGTCCCTTTTCATCACTCTTTGTTTACTACTTCCATTAAGTTACATCACGAAGGGATAATAGTCAAACTTAATAATGAGTCTAAAAAAAGCAGAAGAAAAACAGAGAATGATGAGCGAACATTAGCCAAAGAACAGACAAATGAACAGAACGAGGAATTGGACAAACAGAGCAATATTTTCGAAACCATAAGAGTTGTAATAAGGTAACAGTATACGAAATAGATGGATGTACAATCAATTTTCGAGCTGTTTGGCGGCTGTCTAGAAGATCTCGGACTATCTTCACCACAATTTTTTAACAGAGAACCCTATATAAATTATAGCAACTATTTCGGAAAGAGATAACTTTCATGCTCATTTCAGCAATAAAACTTAGTCCATAGACCGAATTAAAGATAGCTACAACTTCTGTATTTACATCATTACAACTGTAACAAAGCCGCTGAATAGAGAATGACACGTATAACGTTCCTGTCTGATAGCTTGTTATTTATTACATAAAAAAAATTATTGTGCGACAACAAACTGAGAGTGAATTAAGACAAAAATAAATCAGGAGTATCAATTTTATTCCTTGAAATAAAACAAACCTCATCACTTCGCTTTTTCAGTTGTGCAACTGTCCTCTGAATTTTATAAATTTGGTTTCTCAGATCAACATATGCAGAGAGTACCCGTAATAAGCGTTCTGTACACGTCGATTTATTATTATTTACTGCTTCCAAACTCTTGATATCTTCGGTAATTCTGAAAAAAATGATAAGTAACAAAGAGGTATGAAGTCACTATTTACCGGAAGATCATTCCCGATATTAAGCCTTTAATGCTTACTGTACCTACTTCAATCTCCACTGCACTCAGCTGCTAAGTTAGTTGGAACCCTTTCTACCCACTTCATACGTGCATTGTGTCGTACGTACATGTTTCTAACTTGAATAAAGCAAAAACGAGATATTAGAATATAAGTCCTCAATGAATGAAATCAGTTTTTTATACAATTTAATTGAATACCAAAACTTTGAACAATAAAAGACAAAATTTCAAAGCCTACATATCCTGAATTCTTTTATAAGCGACTTGTGTGACTCTCATGTTTTCTACCAAGGCTTGTACAACGCCATTAGCTACTGCTATAGCTTCAGCTTCCGTTACCGATTTATTTAACCTGAAAACAATCGCTTCAAAATTTAATACTGAAAAACTTAAAATTCATACTTCTAGAAAGATATGGGACTGCACATGAGTTTCACATCCTTTCTTAAAACCGAAAAACAGATATTTCCTTCTCTTAAGTCAAATGCGTTATGAAATTTAAGTTGTTTGGAAAATAAGACATGGTAAGATAATACCTAAAACTTGGTATTACAGTTTGGGATTGAAAGATTTTCAGACATTCCTCAAGAAGATAGTCTTGAGTTCTTCCTTCGATAGGCACATTACGCTGTCTAACTACTGCACGTTTATCACACCAAACAGTATCTTGCCTAAAAAGTATCAAATGATAAAAAAAATCACTTATAAACTTATAAAAAATCAAGTTACAAAACTAAAATAACTTCATAATGAAGAAACATTAAAGTAAATATAAGGCTTATTCCGCAAACATCATTCAAATGTTGAAATTTCAAATTGCCTATTTAAATCTCAGAGCCAACCTGGTAAATTTATGAAGCAGCTGTTTCGAGGAAGTAGCCGCTATATAAACTATGTCTTTCTCATTGAAAGCTTTGCAAATATCAGCGGAAACTGAAGATTCATCTTTGGTAACACAAGCAGTAGTGGCAAATGTTATAGAATCTGCCATCCCTTTTGCTTCGGTGCTTCCCAAAACAACAAACACGTGATGGATTTTCGAATCAGGCAAATCGCTTGCATTTTTTTCGTAACTAAAATTTTGCAAAATTCAAGAAATAAGAATTACTATACTTTTATTCACCACCAACATAATCCATTGGCATTAAAAAGCATCATTTCGTCGCGCGATATATATTAAAGTGAAGTGAGTAAATTAGATCAGGGATAATTTCCTAATGAACATTTACTGGTGCCATTCACAAATATTGCATGATACCGCAATTCGTGATGTTAAATCTTCTATTTCACTATGTTCTAGACTATAAAAAAATAAAAAATTTCTGTCAGGGTAGTTCCATGAAATAAAGCAGTTACAAAGAAAAAAGTGAAACATAAGTGAGTCATGTTACTAAACACAAACTAAAGATGTAGGTACGAAGAGCTAAACCAAGCGATGTTAGGTTTTCATATTTTTTATTTCTAGAAGATAAGCTTTAAGTAATATTCAAAATTTTAAAACTTGCTTTGCATTTTCTAGTAGCAAATTTGATAACAAATGAACCCATGGATTAATATTGATGGAAAAAAGATTCGCTCCACAAACAACAAAATATTGGCCAGGTTGCACAGGATCTAAAGTTTGAGAAAATTAGTATGAATATTTCTAGACTGGTGCCGTAAATCCTCAACAAAATTTGTTTCCAAATGTTTGATCTTATTTTACTGTTTTATGTAACTCTTATTCATCAGCAGATTCTGTCAAACCCAAAAAGAAAATTATATATACAGCAAAAACTCATTTCACATTTCGATTTGTTGTAAAACACATCCAAAATAATCAGCATTGTTTCACTTTTTTCTTTGTTTCCCCACTGATTGATAAGATTATCTACAGGATAGCCAGAGATCAAAAAATTGAGCTCGTAAATTGAAGAAACTTATAAGTTAAAATTCTAAATCTTTCAATTCTTTCAATACGAACCATTCTGTAAGCAATATGAAATATTAGCAAGCGGTTTGTAAGGTAGCAAAATATTATCATAGGAAACAAGAATAATTTCCAGATGTCCGTTGAAAGCTCCCTGAAAAAAATGGCCAAATGCAAATCTCCAATTGTTTCCAAAATGTATTATACGTTTTTCTAAGAAACAGCAGAGCTTTTACTTGAGCTCATTAATTTAAAAACTTAAATTTAAAACCTTTTCTAGTATTAAAGCAAGGAAATGTGTGATACATCCATTAGAAGATATTAACGAGAAAACCGGTAATGATGTTCTTTCCTGATACTGTATATAAAGCACATCGAAGGCACCACTGGAAGCAAAATCTCCTGGTATGGTTCCTGTTAATGCAAGAGGTCCCTGGATCTCAATAACTCTGCAAATGGATTTGCTCAAGATAATATTTCATAAAGATGAAAGACCACTCAAAATTCTAAAAGTTCGGAGAATAGTTGGTAAAATATCCATGGATTTAACAGAGAACGTGATAAAGAGCACACCAAATAATCACCGTGACAGAAAATTCTTTTTTAACAAACCTACTGTCTACATAAACGGCAATGTAAATGTCACCACAATCGTTATCAATAGCAAACAATGTTTTCAAACTAATTTCTGCACCATTTTCATTATCCACACGAACAAATGATGGTCCAAGATCGAATGAGGCTTGAAAAAAATATTTTTCTTACCAAAACAAAATGCGTATTTTGAATTTTAAGTTTTGATGATGCTTTAACAGCTGACAAAGAAACAGCTATACAATGTCGTGCAATCATTATCTCAAACTGGGTATTATTTGTAAATTTAATTTTTTCACATGTTAAGCTCACAAGTATTACAAATTACTTTTTGATTAGAAAAAGTACAATTTAAGCAATGAATATCGTTTTATATTTCAGTGCATCGTAATACGCTTCTTCCAAAAAGTATCAAAAGCAGTAGGTAATAAACAAAGATAACTGTAAACAGTGAATGCTCCACATAACAAAAAAAACTCAAAATCCTGCTATGTTTATGAAAACTGTATGAATAATATTCAAACCTATGTAATTATGCACGCCAAACGAACGAACGCCACTTGATTCGCACAGCCCAGGAATCGATTTAAAATCGATCATAACTGCAGGTATAGTACAGGTCACGTCAGTATCATAAATCCTAAAAGTTTTTCACCTGATTTAAAAACATTGCTACCCATTACGGTTTATTTCTTCAACGTCTTGTTTTTCTACCAACACAGGAAAATGTGATACAAAAATAAATTCGTAAGCAAATGAATAAGTAAAGCATATGGAATAAAAAGTTAATAAAATAAAATGAATTATGATTAGAAAAATTTCCGAACATTAGCATAGAACAGAAAGCAAGAAAACAAACCTTACAATATTTCCGCTGTAAAGAACAGCCAACCTATTGTAAGCATGACGTCCGGATTTATGGTGTCCCTTCCAACACCACCGCATTTTAAGAATATCAACCGCAGTATTTACTGACGAAGTATGAGAGCCAACAAATCGGCTCCTATAAAAGAGAAGAAAGAAATAAAGAAAATTTTCCCCGTTTGTATAATAAAAACTGGAAAACACAATTCATAGATTTCTTTCTTTCAAATTAATTGATCAAAATCACTAATTACTCAGTTCAACGTATTTCTCATTAATGCATAACAGCAATGTGAAACAAAAAATTCACAATAAGTCTCATTAAACCATTTCGATCTTTTAATAAATCTCAATAAAACACAGTCCTCGACTCAGCTACTGCTAATTTTGCTTTCCAATCTTCAGCAAAATACTCCTAATATTACTCAAACAAAAACGCACGTTGGATAAATTTTTCCCAAACCCTAAACTCATTCTTATTTTTGACTAATAATACATTCAATCTGGACAAAAAAAATCGAAGTTTCAAATTCCAACCAATTTAAATCATAGACTAACCCCTTCAACCTATTTCATCTAAAAACCTTCAACCTACTTCATCTAAAAATGAAAATAAAACCCTTTAATCCATAGCTTTTGAGTTTTTCTCTAAAGATGAGAATAACTTTGCATACGACGCAAATGAGTACCTGCAATGATAAGTAGGTTGTAAATGATCCATTAAAGGATTTTGTATTACAGACTGTCGACACCAACAATCACACGGTATTTCAATTACAAACACTGAATGTGCACTCGAAAGTGCTACACGGCTGCCATTCCTGTTCACCAACATTGCTCTAAATTTCTCATCTGACGGCAAAGGTGGGTCAATGCAGAGTTTCTGTAAGAATTATGAAATTTAAAAGTTAATTATTGCGTCAAAAGTCTTTCAACTGGTACTATGATGTTTTCCTCACGACGTTTCATTAACGTCCCGCGACAAATGATGTGAACTATAAAAGGAACAAACTAATACTTGCATTGGGACTCTTTCTTTTTTGGAATGTATATTGCACTGATCATCTAGCAATCTTGACGAGATTGCGCGAATTAAAAATTTTATTCCATATATTCAAAAAATATATTTCCGCATTCTAGCTTTTAATATTTGTCTTAAATCAGCAAAATTAATGGAGTTCTTCCACCTTATTAAATGTTTTAATCCCAATAAACTCAGAAGCTAATTTCTTTCCGAAACTGATAACATTTGATAGCAGTGAGGAATATTCCGAATTAATAAAAAACTTACAATTTGTCGACTACAGTAAGCTTTTCCATCAGTTCCCGAATACAAGCCAGCGATAAACCATAAAGTATTACCATCAAACATCATGAGACCGTGATTTGTATAACTATCAATCAGGACAGCTCCCGAAACCTTGGAAGCCAATAAATCCAACAACATCCCCACAACTTTGAAATCTTAATTTATATCATACTACTATGATCTATACGGATTATTACTTTAAGTTTCTTATTCAAGCATTTTATCCGTCACCGTAAATGAGCAAAAAAGTTATCCAGTATAGTACGCTTCAGGCAGAAAATACTGCAATCTGAAATCAAACTTAGACATAACTTTTCCTAACAAACCACTAAAAGCCTAATGATCATATCTTATTGCCACAACTACTATACTTTAGCTTACACCTATCACATCTTATTAAGAGAGTATTAAGTTACTATCGGCGTAACAAACATGCCTTAAATGATATTTACTGACTCATCGATATTCCTTACTTACACATGAACTATCGTCCTATCACTCCACCCTTAGCCTGACTTTAACAATTAATATCCAACCTCAAATTCAAACAAACACAACGACAAATCGTTCGTTTTTATGGCGTGCAGAATATGCAATCATCTGTCCCAGCAGTATCAAAATCGAGCTTGCATCAGTAGAGATACAAATTTTTAGGAAATTTAATTTCGTTGCTAGTTTTGCTAATCAAAATTAACATCAGATTTTAGAATTACTGTCACATTTTTTTTATCATTTGAAAAAAAATTGATGGAATTAATGTTCTGTTAAATATAAGAATAGAATTCATTTTACGATCTTTTGTAATGATAGAAATTTTAAACATTCTAATTTCTCATATTAATGCTACAATGACTTGCTTATGGGGGAGAGAATACTACTAATGGTAATGTTGAAAAATGTTTAGGAACTATTTGAATTTATTTTTCGCATGGAGTGATCTGTACGTTGCGATCTATGCACTATGACAACTAACTATTTATGTATTTTATAATTTAGAAGCTCTTAGTTCCCATATAATAGATTATCTTGGAATCCATGAATATCTCTTACTGAATCCAACCAAGAAAATCCTCATCAAATCCACAAACTTTGGTCTCAAAATCCATAAACGTCTTGTTTGAAGACTCGCTCATCACCTCCTATGTCCATATTTCATTTTACACTTTCCCATCTCTGCATGCCTCATCAGGAATTTGGAATGGCTTGCATAATAACATTACTGGTCAGTGTCACAATGGTCATCATGTGTCCAGGGTACATGCGTGTGTCTCTGTGTATGTCCATGTCTGCGTATATTTGTACATGTGTAGTATATCGCTTCTCTGGACAAACTAGGAGTGGAAGCAGTAATAATAGTATTATAAAATAGGAATTCATAGAGAAAAGGTCCAACCAGCTGTGTTGAATTCATTTCGTTGCACTTATTCGTCACCCTTTAGAAGAACATCGATCTTTTGCGGTGTTTCCCTCCAGCATAATTTTACTATATACATATTATTATTATTTTATTATTTTTATTACTATGAATTTCAAAATTTTCTAATTTTAAACTTTACTATCAAATTTTATCTTCCCAAAATGATCATAATCGTTTTTTATGAAACGTTACATTTCCATTCCAAATTAATTATACATTAAGTAATTGAAATCGTTTTAATTGAGCTCTTTTTTTTAATAATTGTTTTTGTAATTTAATAGCGAGGCAACATTTACATCGAAAAAAAAGTTATATATGAAAGAAAACTAAGTGAACGAGCAATATCCTATACATATATATATATATAATGTGCACATATGGATACACACAGACAGAAAATGAAATGGACATGAAAATATTATAGAATGTATAACGGAAGAAAACTGGTACAAACTGATGCAATCCTTATTTAACTTCTTTTCATTTCGGGAATTCAGATAGTGGCAATTGTTTCCATTTCATCCACGATAATCCTATTTTAGGGCTACTTCGTTTAATTTCTTCTATTTTAATTTTCTTTTCATTTAGTTTAGTTAGCATTATTGTTGATGATAGTAAGTAAGTAATAGAGAAAATTTGTAAAATTTGTTTCATTTCAAAATTATTTTCATAATGTATGACTGTTGATAATTAACACTTAAAAAAATGGACTTATAAAATTAGTCATTATTAAAGGTTAGTATTTGGATAAGAATGCATTTAGGTAACAATACTATATTCATAATTTTTGCATTACTAATTATTTGACTTTTCGAGAATACTTTTGAAATCAGAGATTCATAATGATTGTCTAAAGATACATTAATCGGTCTATCGGTTTAAATCAATCCTAAAACATCCTCCGCTTTATTTCTTATCACGTTTGTAAACATGGTATTAACTTCGAAAAATATTCATATGCATATATGAAAGGTCATTTTCGGCGCAATCTTTTACATTTCAATAAATAATTGATAATTTCGAGTTGGAATTTAATTTTAAGATGCGTATCAATTGATAACATGAATTTTCAATGTAAGATTACATCATGAATGGAAGCTTTAATTTTCGACATGTGTGCTCCAATTTAGAAAGTGTCCGGATGAATAAGGAAAAGATTTGTTAAATCGGTCATTCTGCAAGCAGTCGTGCAACTCTGTTCACTTTGCATCATATTACTATTGCGTAGTCAGTAAAACGTCATTTATTGATGATAATGATACATCCTAAAATTTTGACCATTTGCTGACTGTTATTTAAAATTTGATTTTTTTTTTGAAATAAATGGTTTCGCCTACTTATGATATTATCTCATTAATCTTTTTAGTCTTTGCAAATACTTTGATGTATAATTGTATATATTCTTTGAACTCTGTTTTCTCTTTTAAATATTTCTCCATTGTAATTTATTGTTATTGTTTCAGAAACAATAATGCGCTAAAATCCGTGTATGTATTAGAAACTTTAAAATATACATTTAACATTTATCCTTTCGATTGTAAAATTTAACATTGAAGAAGTGAAATAATTTGAAATTTAATGCTCATCAAAAGGTTAATATTCCTACAGTAACACTTAAATATTTATCGAAGATACAAATAGAAATGTTATGGGAAAATGATCCTTATGGATTTGTTTGTAATAGAATCCATCTTTTTCACATATCCATTGTTTATTTGATTTGCTACCGCTAATAGAATTCAGTAATGCAAGGTGGCTGTTTCGTTAATCCTATTAGCGAACCTGCCAATATCTGGCCATCAATAGCCTAAATTACCATCACTTTAATAATAATCTACAGTATCTGAACATTAATATTTCATTTTCATCAAAAAAAAATTTGACAACAAAGTTACCACTCATAAATTTTTGCATTTTCAATTAAAATCAAAAAAAATAATTTCAGTACAAATTATACATAATTTTTTTAAAAATCTGCAAATTTTTTTCGCTGCGAACTAATTTGAAATTTGCAAAAAAGAAATTATTATTTAATTAGTACTAATTAATGCCAATCATTCATCCATTATTCATTTTTTTCGTAATATAATTGAAAGCAATCTATTCCATCGTTTGTTGCTATGCAAAAATTTCTATAATTCAAAAAACTATATCAAATTGGAAAAAATATTTATGGTATCGAAACTAAGTACCAATAAAAAATAAAATAAAAATTAGTCAACTATTTAATCAATTAATTTACTTAATTAATCACTCTGCTGAAATTCACTTCCATTACAAAAATGTATTCATTTTATTCAGCAAATTCTAAAATTACTGGAATAAAACCAAATTTGCAAATATTTTCCTTTTTTCTTCATTCCTTCTCTCTTATTTTAAACCTTATTTATTATTTTAGGTTGTTGCTTTCGTTTTTTCTTGCATTTATCTGATTTAAACTATAAATTTAGGATTCATAAATTGATTTTAATTGATTAATTGAAATTTTATGTTAATACAAGCATAATCTATTAAATTGTAGAAATCTTTGATTTTATTCCTAATTTACCGTTTATATATTTTTTTCGTAACAGTCAACAGTAATTTGTTTCAATTAGTATTTAATTAAAAAAATTCAATCGAATTCGACTGATTCATTTGATTGAAAGTTACAAGTATATTAAATTTCATGTTGAATTATTTTTAAATATGAAAAAGTTAATCAGTAATGTATTCCTCATTACTGTATAATTTCTAATGATATGGGAAGATATCATTTACTATTGTATTACATTTATCATTTATTATCAAAATGATCAAAATTGAAATACTTGAGCTTAAAAGTAACCAAAAATGATATGAATGAAATGGTATTTTCTCTTTTGAAAATATCATTGCTAGCACAACTGCTATCAGAGATTAGTTGTTTGATACCTATCGTAGTAATTTATAGGATACGATAACAATGAAAGACTAAGCCAAATAGTTAGTAAAACCATTCATCGTCGAATTGGTATTTGTGATTGCTACTATCGTTGGATTTTAACTTAACTCAAATAGTACAATTGTTTTAGTTTTGATTTAAAAATGTTGAAACTTTCATGCAGTGTTTAGATATACAGAAGGTCTAACATATAAGATTTTGAGAAAGAATTCATTATTTTTTTCAAAACTTAATAAATTTTATACATTCTTTACAACCACCATTAATATTCTTTTGCAAAATGTGTAGGGAAATACCCAAAGCAAAAACGATCGAGATGCAAAGGTAGCCGATATAGAAGTACTCAAGATAAAACTATTCGTCACGGAAGTACCGGAGATAAAACTATCTGTGATCGAAATATCCGAAGCTTGCACCATTCATTGCTTCTTGTTTTTAATTGGAATAAAATTAAAAAAATAAGGAAGGGGCGAAGAAGAAAAAGGCTCCTTCTTTAATGGTCACCTTTTTTTAATTTAATTATAACATCATTATTATTAAAAAAGGTGAGCAGTAATGCTCATCTTTTTTCCATATTCAGTTATCATTCTTAATCTTTGAACCTTTTTAATCTCAATTAGAAATTTGCTTGGAATTATTTATTTCTTTCAAAGTATTTGGTATGAATAAGGATGCCAATATGTAATTGTTAATAGCACAATACAAGTATAAATAACGACGTTACAAATAAATTAAAAAGAAGGAATTATATAATATTTGCGTATTTGAATACAACCTATGTTTAAACAACACTTAATC